ACATTCACAACAAACTATTGGTTTAAGATTAAAAACTAAACGTGTGTTTTTAGTTAGCTCCTAAGTTAGCACCGTTAGCTAACGTGCCGCCCGGCTACACTGTAGTTTTAAGCGTTAATGAACACATAAGAGGGTATTTTTGGGTGTTAGCTCGGCTTTTAAACCCGTTTCTGAGGAGCTAATCAGGGACCTACAGTAGCTCTTTCCGGATGTAACTACCAAGCTAACGATCTGAGAGATGTTAGTTATTTTAGTGTTTATAATAGGGTTGAATCAATTAGTAACGTTTGATTTCACCGATACTGAAATAATAGAATGAATAAAAGACGGAATGTGTGGCCTCTTACCTTCTTTATCGACCCATCATAGACGATGCTAACAGGCTATCGGTAGCTTGTGCTAGTTCAGTAGCTTGTTCTAGCTAGTTAGCTTGTGCTAGCTTAGTTAGCTAGCTCGGCCAAAAGCGTAATATGTGTCCTCTGAATACTACTAATCTGTCTGTTTCTAACATCGGAGATCTTCGCTTATTCTACCGAACAGAGTCCACTGGAACCGACGGACATCGTCCTTATTATCTCAGATTAAAGATGTTTTATAACGCTTTGTTTTCTAATGTTTTACTAAAAGCTGTCCGATGAGAAGCCGCTACTGCGTAACTAGCTAGCTGCTAGTAGCTAGCCACAAACACACACACACACACACACACACAGGCTTATCAGCAGAGCACCGATCACAACCAATCGAACGCAACCCATTCAACAAAATTAGTATTTGTATGATGCAGCCTAATCTGGTAATGAAACAATTAATGTACTTTAATTTATTTCTTAAAATGTTGAAATTATTTTAGAGAATAATGAATTTAAATCCGCTGGAAAAGAAACACGATCTGTTGTATCAGCGAGAATAAACTCTGACATCGACTAGAAGTCCTGAGGAGTCATTTTATATTTATTATATTTTATTAAAGAAATAATAATATTGCTAAATTAACTATTCCAGTCATTTAGTAGTGATCATTAAAATAAATAAAAATAAATAAAGCATTCAATCAGAATCTGTTTTGTTGAACCGGTATAAATAATGTCAACAATAAAATACCAGAAATGATGTTTATCAGAGTGACTCAATGACGTCATTAAACGTGTTTCTAATCTTTGACGATAAAATATTTAGTTTAAAAAGAAAAAAACAAACATGAATATATTTAGAATGTTTAATCTTTCTGACACACATACACACACACACACACACACATATATAAACACACAAATATATACACACACTCACAAACACAGGACGACCACTGATATATATATACATATACACACATACACATATATACTGTATATACACACATATATACACATACACACACACGCACGCACGCACACACACAAACTCACACTCGTACACACACACTCACACAAACATACACACACACATATACAAACGCACACACAAACACACATACACACATACACACGCACGCACACACACACTCACAGACACACACTCACACTCACACCTGCTCAGGTGCGTCTCAGTCTTTATTGGGTCATCTGTTTGCTGCTCTACTGACAGGATGAGTAACCAAGTACTTTATTGAGGTACTTGTACTTTACTTTGATGTTACTTTATGATTTAGTTGATGAAGAGAGTAAATCTTGAGACGTCTCTGTCTCCTCTTTGCATGTCTGACCATTATAAACAAGTATAATATAACTATAATAACTGCTTCCATGTGGATCTTTGAGATGCATTCTGGGAAATGTAGGAAATCACTGAACACACAAGAAATTTCAATAAACATTTAATGAACCTGAACTGTGATGAGTGTCAAAGATCAGAGGGAATGAATTCATCTCTATATTCAGATATTAATAAATCATCTCAACATAAACATAAACAATATGAGATATGAGACCAGTACAACCAGACCAGTAAAACCAGACCAGTACAATCAGACCAGTACAACCAGACCAGTACAACCAGACCAGTACAACCAGTGAGGTTTAAACACTGTTCTTCTACTGGTGTTCTTCTACTGTTGTTCATCTACTGATGTTCATCTACTGGTGTTCATCTACTGTTCATCTACTGGTGTTCATCTACTGTTGTTCTTCTACTGGTGTTAAGAAAGGATTATCTGGTTCTTCTTCTCCTGGTGTTGTTCATATACTGGTGTTCTTCTACTGTAGTTCTTCTACTGTTGTTCATCTACTGGTGTCCATCTACTGTTGTTCTTCTACTGGTGTTAAGAAATGATTATCTGGTTCTTCTTATAATGGTGTTGTTCATCTACTGGTGTTGTTCTTCTTCTACTGTTCTTCTGTTGTTCTTCTACTGTTGTTCATCTACTGTTGTTCATCTACTTGTGTTACATACAGACACACACACACCCCGCCTCAGAAGTTCTCCTTGTAGAAGTTGAAGCTGAAGTGTTCACATTCAGCCTTGATGACTTTAGCCAGAGCCATAGAGCCGCAGTAGAACACATGGACTTTCCCTTTGTTCTCCTCCGACATCTTCTGGAACACCTGGAACACAACATCACCTGTCTCACTACAGGTGAGGAGCAACCAGCACCAACGTGCCTCATTGACATAGTGATGCATGTACATATTTGTTATATATATTTATTTTATTAATAAAATAAACCCCTTATTTAAAGGGCTCAAATATTAGGCCTCGCCTCTACTTATAACAGTATTAAATAGTACTGTACCTTTAAACATTCCAACATTCTGCACTATTAGACACAAAGAAAACCTGTCACAGCTCTGCCACCATTATCCTGTTTTGTCATATTTATATAATTAAATCTAATATGTTTATATATAATATATATATTATATATAATATGTTTATATATATTATATATTATATATAATATATATATTATATATAATATGTTTATATATATTATATATAATTAGTGCTGGGCAAGTTAATGCGTTAATTTAGCGTCAACGCATTCATTAATTAACGCCGACAATTATTTTATCACGCGTTAACGCATTTTTAAAATTTATTATATATATATATATTTTTTTTTTTATTGAAAGACAAGAGACAATACATATAAATAACAACAAGAGGATGACAAGAACAGTGGGATAAAAGCCAGAAAACATCCTATAGTCAGTTGTGTATGTATGTGTGTGTGTGTGTGTGTGTGTGTCCTTGAGCCTTTTGAGATGGGAAAATAATAATAATAATTAAAAAACAACAACAAAAAAAACAGGTAAGTATTTTTTATTTATTATTATTGTAACAGACTGTCTCATGTTTATGGTTTTGATATGTCCCTTCAGGGTTGCCGTAGAGAAAAGGCGACTTCCGCTTCAGGTCGAGGGGGGGGGGGGGCAGAAATAAAGAGAGAAGCTGCACCAGCTGTTGCTCTCCCTGGAGACTACTGGACATCGCTGCGGTAAAGTCAGCAGACACTCAGATCTCCGTGGTCCACTCAGCAGACACTTACATGTTAGTGCACCTATATGCTGACATTCACGGTAAACGCATTTAAACGGCACAGATCGGGAGCGAGCGAAGGACTTTGAAAGTTAGCGAAAAGATTAACGTGAGACAACATCCGGTTTCTTCAGACGAACATCCGGTTTTCAGAATAAGATGCCAACAAAGTATGAATTATATTCACATTAAGTATAAAACATGCTACCTGCATCTCGTGAACCAAATGTTATTGCCCTTTTGTTCATATAGCAGTACTTTTAAAATAAAAGTGCGCAATACACTACTTTTGAATTCATTATTGAACTTTGCCATAACAATGAGATTAATCGCAAAAAATACATGCGATTAATCGCGATTAAATATTTTAATCGTTGCCCAGCACTAATATAAATGTAATAAACATATATATATATTATGTTTAGTACATTTATTGTCTACATATCAATGTGTCCTCACCTTCCCCCACTCAGGGCGTCCAGGTTGAGTCCTGGTCCTCAGTCCGGTGATGGAGTCCTTCTTCTCCTTCTCGGCCAGCAGGTCCAGCGCCATCTGCAGGCCGATGGCCTTCATGTCGTTCTTACTGAGCGCTGACGTCATGTACATGTGCATCTCCAGGAAGCGGCCTGACATACAGCAGAGGATCAGGTTCAGGATTATCTCTCAGAAAAAGGTTCTAATCAGCTGTTATATCGTTCTTCTTCTCTCCTCCAATCAAAAAACAGACACAAAACAGTTTCATTCTGACTCCAGATGTTTTATTCACATGTAAAATGATTCCGACTTCCACAGAGTCACATGAGAGAATCCTGCTGAACTCGATGTTGAGTTACTTTCATTACTGAACTGTAAGTATTGATTGAAGAGGTTCAAACTGTGACTTCATAATAACACCCGTTTCATAATTCAGAAACAGCAGTTATGTTATAATAATATAATAATCATAACAATAATAATCTGTGTTTACACAGCAGTAAACATGCCATTCACATAGACTGATCCGGGTTTTCCTCAGTAAACCTGGTTTCTGGTCCAAGTTCATTGAGTTTATCTGGATCATGTTACTAAATTAACCATCATCATCATCATCCTAATCATCATCATCATCCTTATCATCATCATCATCCTTATCATCATCATCCTTATCATCATCATCATCCTTATCATAATCATCATCATCCTTATAATCATCATCATCATCATCCTTATAATCATCATCATCATCCTCCTCATCCACATAACAATTAATATTGTTACTGTGACCCTCCAGCTGGTCTACGGTCACAGAGACCTTCACTGGTGAGACCTTCAGGTGGTCCTCAGGTCTTAAATATGGAAACAGTCTCTCAGTGAATGTGTGTGTGAAGGTGTGTATGTGTGTGTTGGTATCAGGATCAGAGGACAGCTTTCCTCTGTTCCAGTCCAGATTCACTCGGATCCTCTGGGGATTCTTCTCCACTACGAGATCAGGGTCTGGATCCGATGATAAGGAGGGTGCTGAGTATTTACCTCGAATCAACCATAATCTCCACGATCCAGACCGTATGGCTCCCCCTCTCTGGACAGACTCTGCTATCACCCCCAGAGACCAGTCTGTACTGTCTCTAACCTGGACATCCCAGATGTGAGTCCCAGAGTTAAATCCCTCAGAACCCAGAACAGAGCACATATAGTATCCATCAAACCTCTCTGGGTTAGCAGGAAGCTGCTGTTCCTCTCCTCGTCTCACACTGGTCAGATCTTCAGACAGGATGAGGTCTGGACCAGCAGTGTTTGGGTCCAGAACCACAGGAGTGTAGGAGACCATGTCCTTCATCTTGTTCCAGATGTTGAAGGTCAGGTTGCCCAGGTGTTTGGCCTCGTCTATCAGAGCTCCTGAGAGCAGCTGTGGATCCTCCAGCAGGGGGC